CCCTAGAAGCATGGAGGGCACGCGTGGGTCCTGGAAGAGGGTTTTTGGGAGCAAGGCTTTCGGAGGAGGAGGAGGAGCGCCGATCCAGCCGCCCTCCGACGGACTTTGCCCGGCGATGGAGGGTCCAGAGACCCGTGGAGGCGTCTCGCGTGGCTTCCTTTCGCGTGGACTAAGGCTTTTCGCGGAAGAGAGGCGTGGCGGGTCTTTCCAGGAAAGGAAAAAGAAGCTGGAGAGCCTTGTTGGACTGTGACTCTGGAGAGGAGCAGGGTTCGAATCCCCGCTGGAGCCTCAAAGCCCCCTGGGGGACCGGACCCTGGCTCAGCCACACTCTCTCAGCCTCAGGGGAAGAAGGCCGTGGCAAAGCTCCATCTGAAGGAGCCACTCTTGCCCTGGGAGGATGGCTTTTGGCTTTAGGGTCGCCAGGAGTCGGAAATGGCTTGGAAGGCATAGCGACAACCTGAAAGATCCCTTCTGTTCATTTGGCAGTCCTGGAGACATCCAAGGGGAAAGGACCTCTGAGGCTGAGAGCGTGTGACTCGCCCAAGGCCACCCAGTGGGTTTCCACGGCCAAGCAGGGATTCGAACCCTGGTCTCTAGGCTCATGGCAACCCAAAAGGAACCTTTGATGGGTTTTTCTTGACATCATTTGTTCAGAAGGGGTTTGCCATGCCCATTCCCTGAGGCTGAGAGAGTGTGACTTAACCAAGGTCACCCAGTGGGTTTCCATGGGCGAGCAGGGATTCGAGCCCTGGTCTCCAGATTCATGGCAACCCTAAAGCGAAATTTTTATGGGTTTTTCTTGCCATGATTTGTTCAGAGGGGGTTTGCCATTGCCTTCCCCTGAGGCTGAGAGAGTGTGACTTGCCTTCTGGGCATTGAAGTCCAAAAAGCACCTGGAAGAAGAGCAAAGTTTGCGAACCAGAGCGCCTAAGGCAAATTGATCATGGCAAGTTTCTTCAGCGGGAGTTTTTCTTGACATAATTTGTTCAGTGAGAGTTTGCTCTTGCCATCCTCTGAGGCTGAGAGAGTGTGACTTGACCAAGGTCACCCAGGAGTTTTTTTTTTTTTAATGCGTGAAACCTGCCTCTCGTCTCCTCCTTTGTTACATCCCTCACCATTGCCACACCTGTGGCTGCATCCACACTGCAGAAATAATCTGGGTTGACACCACTTTTATCTA